GTGACTGGCTCTGGCTTTGACATCAGTCCACAGAGAACATCAAACTACACGTGTACTAAACATTGTTGGGATGACTGGCTCTAGCTTTTACATCAGTCCACAGAGATCATCAAATTACACGTGTACTAAACATTGTTGGGATGACTGACTCTAACTTTGACATCCGTCCACAGAGAACATCAAACTACACGTGAACTAAACATTGTTGTGATGACTGGCTCTAGCTTTTACATCAGTCCACAGAGAACATCAAACTACACGTGTACTAAACATTGTTGGGATGACTGGCTCTAGCTTTTACATCAGTCCACAGAGAACATCAAACTACACGTGAACTAAACATTGTTGGGATGACTGGCTCTAGCTTTTACATCAGTCCAAAGAGTACATCAAATTACACGTGTACTAAACATTGTTGTTGTGACTGGCTCTGGCTTTGACATCAGTCCAAATATGACAGCAGATAAAATGTGTCTGTCTAGTTTGGACGGTTCTTTCTGTAATTAGTCTAACTACAGAGTAGAGAGATCAATTGTGACAGGATGCTGGGGGGCTGAGTGGGACTAGTCTAACTACAGAGTAGAGAGATCAATTCTGACAGGATGCTGAGGGGCTGAGTGGGACTAGTCTAACTACAGAGTAGAGAGATCAATTGTGACAGGATGCTGAGGGACTGAGTGGGACTAGTCTAACTACAGAGTAGAGAGATCAATTGTGACAGGATGCTGAGAGGCTGAGTGGGACTAGTCTAACTACAGAGTAGAGAGATCAATTGTGACAGGATGATGAGGGGCTGAGTGGGACTAGTCTAACTACAGAGTAGAGAGATCAATTGTGGCAGGATGCTGAGAGGCTGAGTGGGACTAGTCTAACTACAGAGTAGAGAGATCAATTGTGACAGGATGCTGAGGGACTGAGTGGGACTAGTCTAACTACAGAGTAGAGAGATCAATTGTGACAGGATGCTGAGGGACTGAGTGGGACTAGTCTAACTACAGAGTAGAGAGATCAATTGTGACAGGATGCTGGGGGGCTGAGTGGGACTAATCTAACTACAGAGTAGAGAGATCAATTGTGACAGGATGCTGGGGGGCTGAGTGGGACTAGTCTAACTACAGAGTAGAGAGATCAATTGTGACAGGATGCTGAGAGGCTGAGTGGGACTAGTCTAACTACAGAGTAGAGAGATCAATTATGACAGGATGCTGGGGGGCTGAGTGGGACTAGTCTAACTACAGAGTAGAGAGATCAATTGTGGCAGGATGCTGAGGGGCTGAGTGGGACTAATCAGAAGGAGAAACACCGCCTAATTATGCCTTCTTTACGTGATCGAAAGGGAAGGGGGAGGGGGGAGAGAAGTGGTAGGGCAGATCTAGTTGTCACTGGGGCGGCAACAACTGTAAATGTCAGGAAAGCGCCCAGGAATACAATCTCGTAGGCTTGTGAATGTAGAAACTAGCCAGCTTGTCCCTGGCAGACCAAGCTATTTGACACAGAGACACAATTTGTACGAAGTGTTCGCTCAAACTGCTACTTGACACAGTGTGACTTAAAATTTGGTATCAAAATACGCTAAATAAAGATTTTGTTATCCTTCAAGTTGAATAGTGTGGTTTAAAAATCAATACGACAAATGTTAAACAGCTTGATACCACCATTTGTCAGTCCAATATAATCATGACTTGAATGTCAGCTTCTTAATTTTGGCAGTGAATTATCAGGCTCGAAAGTCAATATAATGATTTGTTCAATACCATCATCTTAACATTGGGGTGATGGACCTGATAGGAAAAAGTCAATATATCAGGATCTGTTAAATGACTGGGAACATGGTGCTAAGCGGAGGCACCATTTATCAGCGACCCCCCAAAAAAAAAAAAATTGGAGAACAGGCGCAGATTTGAAAGCGACTATCAGCCGAGAAAAGCCGTGTACACATGAGTCACGACAAAGCCCATTTGTTGCTTGCAATCGCTGCGGGCTGCTAGAGAAGCGAAAATAGCCCGATTTCAACTGTGAACACAAGCCTGGCATATCAAATAGGAGCTCGGCCAAAGTTTACTTCAGCAGTGTGTCAACAGAGATGAGAGATCAAACCTTGTGTGCTCTGAGGAGGCGGGCGCTGCAGGTAGGACTAAAGCCAGCTTAGGGTTGATTGGGGCAAAATAACCGACAGTGCCGTGGTCTAGGTCTCACAGTCGTTCTCACCACAGTGCCGTGGTCTAGGTGTCTCACAGCCGTTCTCACCGGGACAGTGCCCGTGTGTCTCACAGCCTAGTGCCGTGTCTAGGTGTCTCACAGCCGTTCTCACCGGGACAGTGCCCTAGGTGTCTCACAGCCGTTCTCACGGGACAGTGCCGTGGTCTAGGTGTCTCACAGCCGTTCTCACCGGGACAGTGCCGTGGTCTAGGTGTCTCACAGCCGTTCTCACCGGGACAGTGCCGTGGTCTAGGTGTCTCACAGCCGTTCTCACCGGGACAGTGCCGTGGTCTAGGTGTCTCACAGCCGTTCTCACCGGGACAGTGCCGTGGCCTAGGTGTCTCACAGCCGTTCTCACCGGGACAGTGCCGTGGTCTAGGTGTCTCACAGCCGTTCTCACCGGGACAGTGCCGTGGTCTAGGTGTCTCACAGCCGTTCTCACCGGGACAGTGCCGTGGTCTAGGTGTCTCACAGCCGTTCTCACCGGGACAGTGCCGTGGTCTAGGTGTTTCACAGCCGTTCTCACCTGGACAGTGCTGGGGCCTAGGTGTCTCACAGCCGTTCTCACCGGGACAGTGCCGTGGTCTTTGTGGCTCAGCCTTTCTCACCGGGACAGTGCCGTGGTCTAGGTGTCTCACAGCCGTTCCGTCGGTAAATCAAAAGCAGTGGTCCCGTTATATAAACATCTAGGAATTAGCTGGAGAACTGAATATAGACTTATAGTTATTTCATAGACCTTACTGGATTTTATAGATTTACAAATTTTTAATGCATTGTTGATGGATTTTTAAATGCATGTCAGATGCCTGAGTTAGTGACGATATTTGAACACATACCTGATGCCTGAGTTAGTGACGATTTTTAAACGCATACCAGATGCCTAAGTAAGTGACGATTTTTAAACACATGCCAGATGCCTGAGTAAGTAACAATATTTGAACACATACCAGATGCCTGAGACAGTGACGGTATTTGAACACATACCAGATGCCTAAGTTAGTGACGGTATTTAAACACATACCAGATGCCTCAGTTAGGGAAGGTATTTAAAAACATACCAGATGCCTGAGTTAGTGACGGTATTTGAACACATACCAGATGCCTAAGTTAGTGACGGTATTTAAACACATACCAGATGCCTCAGTTAGGGAAGGTATTTAAAAACATACCAGATGCCTGAGTTAGTGACGGTATTTAAACACATACCAGATGCCTGAGTTAGTGACGGTATTTGAACACATACCAGATGCCTGAGTTAGTGACGGTATTTGAACACATACCAGATGCCTGAGTTAGTGACGGTATTTGAACACATACTAGATGCCTGAGTTAGTGACGTTATTTGAACACATACCAGATGCCTTAGTTAGTGACAATTTTTAAACACATAACAGATGCCTGAGTTAGTGACGATTGTTAAAAACATACCAGATGCCTGAGTTAGTGACGATATTTGAACACATACCAGATGCTTAAGTTAGTGACGATATTTGAACACATACCAGATGCCTGAGTTAGTGGCGGTATTTATAAGACCGCTAATGTCCGATAAGCCAATGAAATAGACTCTAGAACAGTTTGACGAGGAGCATTGCATGCAATATCTGTCAATGTTGATGTTTGACGAGGAGCATTGCATGCAATATCTGTCAATGTTGATGTTTGACGAGGAGCATTGCATGCAATATCTGTCAATGTTGATGTTTGACGAGGAGCATCGCATGCAATATCTGTTAATATTGATGTTTGACGAGGAGCATTGCATGCAATATCTGTTAATGTTGATTTTTGACGAGGAGCATTGCATTCAATATCTGTCAATGTTGATGTTTGACAAGGAGCATTGCATGCTATATCTATCAATGTTGATGTTTAAAAAGGAGCATTGCATGCAATATCTGCCAATGTTGATGTTCGACAAGGAGCATTGCATGCAATATCTGTTAATGTTGATGTTCGACAGGGAGCATTGCATGCAATATCTTTCAATGTTGATGTTTGACAAGGAGCATTGCATGCAATATCTGTCAATGTTGATGTTTGACAAGGAGCATTGCATGCAATATCTGTCAATGTTGATGTTTGACAAGGAGCATTGCATGCAATATCTGTCAATGTTGATGTTTGACAAGGAGCATTGCATGCAATATCTGTCAATGTTGATGTTTGACAAGGAGCATTGGATGCAATATCTGTCAATGTTGATGTTTGACAGGAATGTCCTCCACCTGCTTTGTCAGTACGGTGTGCATTTTTAGTGTCCTCGATCACAGATTCAATTGTCCTCTGTCAGCATCTTCCTAGTTTTGAGAAAAGCCCTGTCATTACCTGCTAGTCTTTAATACCTGTCCTGTCATCATCTGCCGGTCTTTGAGAACTGTCCTGCCATCATCTGCCAGTCTTTGAGAACTGTCCTGCCATTATCTGCCAGTCTTTAATAACTGTCCTGCCATCACAAGATATATGAGTACACACTACAGTATTGTTGCTGGGTGTCTCTTGTCACGACCAAACGCTACATGTTGGCTGATGTGGCTAGTATTACGACTCTGATCATACCTCACAACACATGTCTGGCATCCCTTGTGTGACGCTAGGTCGACCCTGTCATAGAGCAGATAGTCAAAAGCATTACATCTTTTAAAATATGCCTACTCTAAAATGTTTTCATAGAATAATTGCCTAATTACAACCAGAACTATTTAGTGTCACATCGCACATTGATTTCACATTTCTAGAGTGAGGAATCACTTGCAAACAGATTGTAGTCACAGGAGGCGCCTGCGCGGGTTCGAAATCGGATGTTTATTGACAATGTGTGTGTTAGAATGGTGTCGTCAGGTGCCAGAGTTCCAATCTTTGTCGTCGCCCTCGCCGTGAGCATCTTCTCATTCTGCGGATGTCAGAACGAGGGGTTCCTGACTGGTGAGTTCTCTCCCCTTTTGGTGTAGTAACATTTTATGTCATTGTTTCGTCTTGTTCTTGTGTACGATATTGTATTAATATCACTTTTTGTTAGTGTAAGTATATGGCAATATATCATAATTTTTGTAATATTTCAACGTTTGTGTCGCTATGAAACATTTCATTTTGTGTTAGAATATCACTATTCGTCTTTTTTGTGAATGTACCTATTTCTGCCTGTTTGTGAGAATTCACCATTTCCACTCTATCATCATACAGTTTTGTTTCCCAGTATGAACAGCCAAAACATGTCTGACTATATAAAATAGAACATTTTTTCTCAGATGTAGTTCGCTTCTAAATAAGGGTCAGAAACCGAGTTGTTGGAAAACTAAAACTATTAACCATAATAAGGCTAAATGTAACATGGTTGCGAGGCCTCGATAATGACCGATTTCAATCATTGCAATTGTTCTTTATGCGTACAACCATCTATAGAAACACCGTGTGTTTTATACAGTCCAACACAGCACCAATGAACACCAGAAATGTGTCAAACATGAACGAACAGTCTAACACAGTACCAATAAACACCAGAAATGTGTCAAATATGGACCAACAGTCTAACACAGCACCAATGAACACCAGAAATGTGTCAAATATGGACCAACAGTCTAACACAGCACCAATGAACACCAGAAATGTGTCAAATATGGACCAACAGTCTAACACAGCACCAATGAACACCAGAAATGTGTCATATATGGACCAACAGTCTAACACAGCACCAATAAACACCAGAAATGTGTCAAATATGGACCAACAGTCTAACACAGCACCAATAAACACTAGAAATGTGTCAAATATTGACCAACAGTCTAACAAAGCACCAATAAACACCAGAAATGTGTCAAATATGGACCAACAGTCCAACACAGCACCAATGAACACCATAAATGTGTCAAATATGGACCAACAGTCTAACACAGCACCAATAAACACCAGAAATGTGTCAAATATGGACCAACAGTCCAACACTGCACCAATGAACACCAGAAATGTGTCAAATATGGACCAACAGTCTAACACAGCACCAATAAACACTAGAAATGTGTCAAATATTGACCAACAGTCTAACACAGCACCAATAAACACTAGAAATGTGTCAAATATGGACCAACAGTCCAACACTGCACCAATGAACACCATAAATGTGTCAAATATGGACCAACAGTCTAACACAGCACCAATAAACACCAGAAATGTGTCAAATATGGACCAACAGTCTAACACAGCACCAATGAACACCAGAAATGTGTCAAATATGGACCAACAGTCTAACAAAGCACCAATAAACACCAAAAATGTGTCAAATATGGACCGACATTCTAACACAGCACCAATGAACACCAGAAATGTGTCAAATATGGACCAACAGTCTAACACAGCACCAATAAACACCAAAAATGGGTCAAATATGGACCAACATTCTAACACAGCACCAATAAACACCAAAAATGTGTCAAATATGGACCAACATTCTAACACAGCACCAATGAACACCAGAAATGTGTCAAATATGGACCAACAGTCTAACACAGCACCAATAAACACCAGAAATGTGTCAAATATGGACCAACAGTCTAACACAACACCAATAAACACCAGAAATGTGTCAAATATGGACCAACAGTCTAACACAACACCAATAAACACCAGAAATGTGTCAAATATGGACCAACAGTCTAACACAGCACCAATAAACACCAGAAATGTGTCAAATATGGACCAACAGTCTAACACAACACCAATAAACACCAGAAATGTGTCAAATATGGACCAACAGTCTAACACAACACCAATAAACACCAGAAATGTGTCAAATATGGACCAACAGTCTAACACAGCACCAATAAACACCAGAAATGTGTCAAATATGGACCATCATTCTAACACAGCACCAATAAACACCAGAAATGTGAGTGTCTAATGTGGACCAACAGTCTAACACAGCACCAATAAACACCAGAAATGTGAGTGTCTAATGTGGACCATCATTCTAACACAGCACCAATAAACACCAGAAATGTGAGTGTCTAATGTGGACCAACATTCGCTACTGGCTAGGATTACTTTACCTCCCTGTAGTTTAAAGTCAACTGCCCCTTGGGGTGATTGAATACATGGATCACTGAATGATTAAACGAACGACTAACGAAAGAATGATTGAAGGAATGCATCAAGAGTTAACCTCACTGCACTCGGGACATTCCCATAAGTGCTCCCTCCCCTTCTTCAGAAGCCAAACAAGAGTCGACATGCAAACACTACCAGTTGCAGCCTGATTAAAAGTTTGCCAATGTTTCCCTATCAGTGTTGACTATCTCAGAGAACTTCAGCTCACCCCGGGGTTGAATGTGTCTTTAAATGTTTGGATTCTCTGTTTTCTCTTTTGCACTTTCAATTTGAGAGACTTCACCAAGTCCGCTTTATCATAAAGCAGCTCGCCACCATGATGTGCGGCAACAGCTAATCTAACAGCGTGCTCGTTACCTTTCACACCTGAATCTTCTTACAGAACATGATATGCTGCAAAAGTCCTTGGGAAAGTCGAAAGGTGACAACAACAGAGGAGCGTTTCACTTCACTTCACATTTACTTCACTTTACTTTTCACTTCACTCTACATTTACTTCATTTTACTTGTACCGATGAGAATTGATGGCGTCAGTGAGAGACCGCGAGTGGTGGGAAGGAAGGAGGTGGCAGTGTTTGCACGGAGGGAATCTGTTTTTAAAAATACGAGGTCTTTCTCGTGGATTGTTGTCTGTCTCTTGGCGCCACTCGATTGCCAACAGAGACTATAGGGTCTCTGTTTAAAAACTGGCAGACTGCTCCATATCAGTTGTTCTTGATGGCCAGCTTGTTGATTTCGTTGTTCTTCGATATCTCTTCTACATTAGTATTGCCCACTTTTAACAGTACCTTGACTGGACAGAACTTGCCTCACAATGACAACGTCTCTTTATGTTAGAAGAGATATAAAACCAAACGAAAAATATATTAGCAAGCTTCAGAATGTAACAATAACAACGTTGTGGCTATGGAGCCTTCATCGTCACGTACAAATCAATCAAAAACTTCACAGATACACAAAATCACTTAGCTGGTATCTCAAAGCAGCCGGGTCGGTAGTTTCTCAGCAGCATGCCTTCACGTATCGGCTGGGGGGGGGGGAATAAATACCCCCTGTGGAGTACCAAGGACCATAACTAGGAGGTTAGAGATAAAACTGTGAGGGCCGTTCAATCCGCTGGGAATTTAAATAAATCTGTGTTGGCAATTCAGTCCAGGGGGTTTAAGTTAGAGTTCTGTTAAGATGGCCACAAGTAACTGTCTAGATACGACAGCCATGTTCCATATCTGAGCTTGACGTTTTTCCCATCTTCATCGCAGTTCTCACTTTTCTGTGGACTGCTGCAATGACTACACCCCCCCCCTTACCCCCCTTACCCCACCCCCACCCCACCCCAACTCCTTTTTTTTAAAGTAACTCACAAACAATGAACAAAATATGTAAGCAAGTAAAGCAAAGACTGTAAATTCGAGACACGTAGCCGATGTTTTGCCCATGTGGATTCCAGGGCCCTATTGTGGAGGAAATAAGAGTTTATCTATCTAACCGTCTTACTCCTTTGTGAAATTATTACTCCAACTGACAACACAGCAGACAACAGAAAGAATGAAATCCTGACTGGCACATTAAGCAACAAACAGAGGTACATTTAAATGACCAACGAGAAACAATAAGGGAAAAAAAAACTGATATTAATTTTTATAGCGTGTGGACGGAACATGAGTCCACTAATGTAATGAACACCGCAATCATGTACAGTTTACTGACACACTTGATAGAAAAAAAAATAGAAAAAGACAGAACACAGTTTTTTAATATCATAGGCAATATTTGTATAATAGAGAAATACATCCCGGCTGACTAACTAGAGAAAATAAAGATATATATCAAAGTTCGGGATGTTTGATGTGGTCTGTCGTTGTTTAGATGGAAGATACAACATCACTAAGTTCGGATGTTTCATGTTGGCTGTCGTTGTTTAGATGGAAGGTACAACATCACTAAGTTCGGGATGTTTCATGTGGTCTGTCGTTGTTTAGATGGAAGATACAACATCACTAAGTTCGGATGTTTCATGTTGGCTGTCGTTGTTTAGATGGAAGATACAACATCACTAAGTTCGGATGTTTCATGTGGTCTGTCGTCGTTTAGATGGAAGATACAACATCACTAAGTTCGGGATGTTTTATGTGGTCTGTCGTCGTTTAGATGGAAGATACAACATCACTAAGTTCAGATGTTTCATGTGGTCTGTCGTCGTTTAGATGGAAGATACAACATCACTAAGTTCGGGATGTTTCATGTGGTCTGTCGTCGTTTAGATGGAAGATACAACATCACTAAGTTCGGATGTTTCATGTGGTCTGTCGTCGTTTAGATGGAAGATACAACATCACTAAGTTCGGGATGTTTCATGTGGTCTGTCGTCGTTTAGATGGAAGATACAACATCACTAAGTTCGGGATGTTTCATGTGGTCTGTCGTCGTTTAGATGGAAGATACAACATCACTAAGTTCAGATGTTTCATGTCGTCTGTCGTCGTTTAGATGGAAGATACAACATCACTAAGTTCGGGATGTTTCATGTGGTCTGTCGTCGTTTAGATGGAAGATACAACATCACTAAGTTCGGGATGTTTCATGTGGTCTGTCGTCGTTTAGATGGAAGATACAACATCACTAAGTTCGGGCTGTTTTATGTGGTCTGTCGTCGTTTAGATGGAAGATACAACATCACTAAGTTCAGATGTTTCATGTGGTCTGTCGTCGTTTAGATGGAAGATACAACATCACTAAGTTCGGGATGTTTCATGTGGTCTGTCGTCGTTTAGATGGAAGATACAACATCACTAAGTTCGGGATGTTTTATGTGGTCTGTCGACGTT